TAAATACCCAGTAGTGCAATTGCTGGATCATATGGCCACCCAGATATTCTTGACATCAGCCAGCGGCTACTGGCCCTCGAGAGCGGCTAGCAGGTGGGGATACTGTGCTAGGACAGAAAAGGGGAACTGGCCAGAGAGAATGACATCTCAAGTGCCCAAACCTAAGCCACAAAGCTGTTTCCCTGGGCACGTTCCAGCAGTTAGGACAGTGGGAGGAGGAGGTGTCCCCTCCCCAGCTCGGGATTCGGAAGGAGAGGGGGAAGAGTCCATGTGGATGTGGGCTTGGCTCTTAGGGTCATCGGCTGAGTCACCATCTGCACACTCACCCCCGGGTCAGCTCTCTGGTCCATCCTGAGTCCGCAAACGGACTTCCTTCCTCCAGGACCAGTTCACCTGCCCCGACGAATATGAAGACCCAGGGGTCCTCTATGAGGCCATCCAGTCCTTTGAGAAGAAAGTAGTGATCTGCCACGAGGGTGACCCGGCCTGGAGGGGCGCTGTGCTATCCAACAAGGAGGAGCTGCTCACCCTGCGGCACGTGGTAGACGAGGGCACAGACGAGTACAAGGTCATCATGCTCCACAGGAGCTTCCTGAGCTTCAAGGTTATCAAGGTACAGTGGCCCTATCTCTCGGCTGGTACCAGCGCTCGCGTCCCTGGGCCAGCTTCTCTTTCAGGGACACGGTCTTGGGGGAGCAGAAGTGGGCCAGGGGGCCAGGGTCATTCCCGCCCCTGAGAACTAGTGTGTAGGCAGGGGCTTTGGCAAGAAGTCCTGGTAGACGCCCATGTAGATGAGGGTCAGGATCTGGCTTATCTGTAAACACTTTCTAGTTCTCTAAACTTCCAGAACTTTAATAACCTATTCCTGGACCTGAAGGCTTTCTAACCAGTATTTCTTCTCTTTGTATTGCTTCAAACACTGGATCGAAAACAACAACTTTCTTTTTGCCCTGTTTCCCCATGAAAGTGGCATCATACCCATCTTCTAGGACCGCTCTTCTGGCCTGACCGTGGAAACGGCTTCAGGCCAGAGTGGTGTAGTCACCGATATTCAGACCCACAGCCCTGCTCACAGTCTGTAGGGTAAAACCAGCAGACTGAAAACACGCGCCGTCATCCGCTCTCCTCCCCGTTCCTTCCCCGACCCGCAGGTTAACAAAGAATGTGTCCGTGGCCTCTGGGCCGGCCAGCAGCAAGAGCTCATATTCCTTCGCAACCGCAACCCAGAGCGTGGAAGCATCCAGAACAACAAGCAGGTCCTCCGAAACTTGATTAATTCCTCCTGTGACCAGCCTCTGGGGTACCCCATGTATGTCTCCCCGCTAACCACGTCCTACCTAGGGACCCACAGGCAGCTGCAGAGTGTCTGGAGCAGCCCCGTCACTTTGGACGGCATCAGGACGTGGTTCCGAACCAAGTGGTTAAGGTAGGCCTTTCCCACCCAGGCCTTCATCCAGATGCTGGGGGTGGGGGGTGCATGTAGAGCTCCCCCATTTCTGGTTAGAGTTTCACTGTTGACCACCATTTCCACGTACGATGAAAACTGCTATTCCCAAGTGGCCTAACAGATCATTTGTCTCCACAAGCAGTTTCAGAGGATGAGTCGGGGGGAGCCTCACACAGATGAGACTCTGTGTCCCTCACACTGGCTGAGGCTGAGGTCTGGCTCGCGTTCCTGCAGAGGTTGTGGGTCTGCAGGAGTAACTGTTCCACCTCTGTCAGGGAGACCAGGCCTGAACCCCCCCACCCCCCCACCCCGGAGTGCGACTCTCATCCAGTAAGCCCTCTGCCTGCTTGTGGAAAGGTCTCGGGTTAGCTGGAATGGATTCGAGGAGGAGCAGCCGCGGAGTGTGGCGGAGCTGCTCATCACAGGCCCCAGAGCCCAGGGTTCTTTCGGAAGGGCAGGGCTGTAGCTTATTCACCCCAGGGCAGTTTATTCATTTACCACGCACTGGCATTTGGGGACCAGGAGCCCCCCTCTCCCCTGCCACCCAGGCGTGCTGCTCACCCGTGGAGTGCAGTCTTCCACCCTGACTCCGACATGGGTGGGGGGCGGCCCTGGAGGGGGCAGGAATGTCTGCTGAGAGCGCTTGAGGTCCCTCTTCCTTCCCAGGGTGCGCAAGGGCTGTGATTCTGGCCAGGGAGGCGCCGGCAACATTGAAGACGTGGACGGGAGGGCTGCCCTCTCTGCAGGCGGCGGCCACGCTCTGGGCGGTGAGAACCAGGAGAGCAGCACGGAACAGCCCGGAAAAGATGGGACCCACCACTGGTCGCCCCGCGAAGGGACACAGAGGACAGGTGGGTGCAGCGGGGCCTCAAGGTTACTGATCGAAGCTCCTTTGGTCCCAGTGACCAACGCCACAGGTGATGCTGTATTCTAGCCTGCAAGAGCTCCTTCTTGCAAAAAGAAAATAAATCAGGATTGGGCCAAAGGATGCCCCAAATTCACTGACTCTGCTCGCAAAAAAACTCTGTTAGACTCAGGTTTTTTCCTTTATCCATCTCTTGTCTATTACCGTAGCCAGCCATCTGTCTGTCCATCTGTCCACTGGCCACTCCCTCCATCCCACCTCTCCCTCGTTCGGTGGCCATTGGATCGTGCACCTTCTGTGTCTGGCAGTGCTGTAGCTACTGATCCAGGCTGGCGTGTGCATCCTTCTGAGAGTGGATCCTCTCCCTCTCTGAATCTGTGGGCTGCACAGACAGGCCTCCTGCTCCCCCATTCCTGCTTCTCTCTGGTTCCCACCTCCCCCACGTACACCTGACATTTCAGAGGGTAACAAAAGAGGGGAAAAGGGATGCCAGCAGACGGGATGGAGGAGGCACACTGGTCCACGTTTGGGATGAGTTTAAAGTCTAACATCAATTTTAAACTAATGCCCACCTAGTTAGGCTCACCCAGATGGATGAGGTTCCAGAACCCGCTCCACAGGGGGCGGCTGGGTTAGGAAAGTTGACACTGAGGGCTCGCAGAGGACATACCAGGTGGATGGATGCAGGAGAGGCAGATGCTCTGTCCTGGTTCCCGCCAGCACATCAGTGCTTGGCTTTGCGCTTTGCAACCTGTGAGTGATTCCATCTTTTGGCCTCAGTGCTTCCTCACCATCCAGAAGCCTTCATTAAGTGCCTCTATGTGCCTGTCCCACGGGCCAGCTCTGCACCAAGTGAGTTAGCAAGGGACAGTCTGTGCCTCCTGGAAGTGCCCTAGGCAAGGCTGAGGATTTAACTGCAACAGGATTTACAGAAAACACGGGCAAGACGGAAGATAGATAGACAGCTGATAGAAAGAAAGAAAGAAATGAAGAAAGAAGGAAAGAAAGAAAAAAAAGAAAGAAAGAAAGCTGATAGTAGAATAATACAGATACATAGGGAGATAGAGAGAGACGCAGGTGACTGATGGATGAACAGATAGATGAGACCAAGAGATGGAAAGATGGAAGCTAGGAAGGAAGAGAAGAAGGTAGGTAGGGAGAGAGAGGGAGATGGGTAGCTGGGCAGAGTGGCTGGTGTTACCTGCTCCTGCCTGCAGCCAGCTGCCCTGAGGGCTGAGCAGAGCCCCTGCCTGGCCAGAGGCCTCAGTGCTCCAGACTCACTCTCAGGCTGGGAGTGTCTTACTGCTTCGTTAACACTTGTTATTGCTGCATGAGCAATGTTAAGTTTCAGAATCACTGAAGCGATTTTCCAGATGGGAAAATGCAAGGTAGCTTCCAAATGGAGAAATGCCTGCGCACTTGGCACGTCTGTCCAGGTGACTTGTCTGCACCAGAGAAAGTCTGGAGTCGGGGGAGGGGGCTGGGATGGGCTGGAGGAGGCCCGAGCTCTTAAAGAGTTGGAGGCCGGTGTGCTGGACGAGCCTGGGACCCTGTGAGATGCCTCTTCCCTTTTTTACGAGTAAAAAGGGGCCAACGCTGCTTGGCCTGGCAGACGTGTCCCTCCCTAGTGTCCCTAGTGTCCCTCCCTCCCCTCAGGACCCGGACACCCTGGGTAGTGAATGTTCTTCCCATTCACAGCCAGAGGCCTGCAGCTGGGAGCACATACAGATTTTTGTGGCAGATGTTGGAGCAGGATCTTCCAGAGCCCAAACCAGCTGTTAATTTTTCATTATTGCTTCTTAAAACGGCTCTTACCGAGGTCACTCCTGGCTTTCTGTGCTCTACACTGTACCGAGGCGGGCCTGGGACATCAGCCACAGGCCTGGGCTCCCAGCACACGTGACCGTCAGTCCCCACCTGCAGCCCGAGGCTGCCTCAGGCTCTGAGACCCGCTGTCGTCTTGCTCAGGGGCTTGATGGAGCCCATAGCCAAGCACCAGTGGCTTTGAAGCCATCTGCCTTGCTGCTATCCCCTCCTGTTGTGTGCCCACCTGCCTGCCCGCCAGGGTTCTATCAGGCGCACCCCTGCAGCAGTGATAAATCGTAATAATAAGTAACAGTTCCCCAGCCCTCACTGCTGCCCAGTGTCATCCTGCGTGCTTTCCAAGTGCAGATTCTCTGGTCCTCACCGTGACCCAACGAGAGAGGCCCTCCCTGTCCGCATCTTGTAGCTGAGGAGACAGGGCACAGAGAAGTTAAGTCACTGCCCAGAGTCACCCAGTGGGGATTCAGACAGACCCAGGCAAGACGAGCCCAGAACCTGCCACCCTAACCACCGTGCATGGTCCCGTCACTCTGGCCCTGGGGACGCTGCGTCACCTCATCAAGTGCCGCCCTTGTCCCCAAGCCCAGGATCGAGCTGATGGAGCCACCATCCCACACCTGCTCCAGCCCTCCTTCTGGCCCACGAGCAGGCAAAGCAGACACCCAGTTCTGGGGACAGCAGCCAGCCGCCTTCCTTTTTGTCCCTGCTGTCCCCACAGGCCTGCCCTGTGTCCACAGGTGGACAGGCCTACAGAAGGAGGGCGTGGCCCCCTGCAGAGGGGCAGAGGCTGGGAGGGACAGGGGCCATGGCCCGAGGCCTGCCCTCCCTTCCCCGCTTCGACCACGGGAAGAACCTCTCTCTTGCTCTCCTGCTCTCTCGGGCCCTGCTCCCAGCCCCGACAGCGGCACATGATCATAAGTCTCCGCCTTGCCGCCGGAGGGGTGTCATTTTGGACCGTTCACATCAGCCTTCACCCCCTCACTCAGCCTCTGATCAAATGCCACTTGGAGAGGCTCCAGCAGGCAGGCCCCAGCAGGTCAGGGCCGGGGAGTTGTCTGCCGCCCCTGGGCTGGGTGAGATGGGGCAGGGGCAGAGGGGCCCTTGGGCTCCGTGGGTGCTCCTATCCAGGCCTGCAGACGTTAGCGCCAGCCACACCATGCCCCATCTCTACCCTGCTGACAGCCGCAGGAAGGCCCAGCATCCATCCTGGGAGGGGAGCCCAGGCAAGTGGTCCGTGTAGGCTCCGGATCTGGGCCTTGAATCCTGAGTGCCAGGCGCCCTACACAGGGCTCTAGGCAGGAGTGTGTGGGAGCGGGTCGGCTTGTCCCTTGTTCCCATGGCTCCCTGGTCCTGTGGGGGGAGGTGGGCGGAAGGAGGACCTGTGTAGGGCCCTCTAAAGTGCCAGCTAGGTGGCCGCTCAGCGGGATGGCCCCCCCCCAAACTCTGAGAGCTGAATTCCACCACTGTCACTGAGGCTTCCCTTAGGGCTAGACACTGGGTCCTATTGCCACGTAACCAGCATCTGTTCATCACAGCCCAGACCACTGGCACCAGGAGCTGCTGATCCTGTTGGCTTGTCCTTGGTGCCCCAAGCCCCCTGCCCAAATCTCCCCAGGGCCCAGCTTTACGTCTTTCAGGAGTTCTCCAGGAACCCTAGTTGTGGACACACTCCTGGTGATGCCTTGGGGACAGGACTCTGGCCACATGGAGCTGGCACGGTCCTGGGAAGAAGAGGGACCCCAAAGGGCAGCTGAGGACCAGACCCCTGGTCTCCCACAGGCGGCTACCACCCCTAGAGCATCCAGGCTGTGTCTCTGGAGGCAACCAGGATCCCCAGCTGGTCTGCTCAAGGGTCCAAGTGCTTCAGAGGGGCCACCCTTTCCAACCATTTGGATTAGCGTTCCCAGGGGGGCCCAGTGAGCTGAGGGAAGCTGGGGGTCATGGGTCCCAGACAAGAGATGGCGGGGATCACCCCCCCTCTCCGCCCCCCCACCCCGGCTGAGCTCTGGCTGATGCGGGGAAATCTGGGGGCATCCTGGCAGAGTGGATCTCTCAAAAGAAATCTAGAAAGGACCAAAATGGGTACACGAGAGGGACAACCTGCCTCTCCCACACTCAGGACGCAGACACCTCTCCCACCTGCCCCCTGGAAAAGTTCAGTGTCACCTTCTTTTTTACTACCACGTGGTTGAAGCCATACAGGGCTATTTGCCACCTTCTGCGGAGGTTCTTTGCACCTGCTCGCTCCCTGTGGGCAGTACAGGACAGGACCCTTGTCTCTTCTCTCCCCATCCCTTGGCAGTTAGAAACACGCGCCGTCTTGTGAGCCCCATGTCAGAGCCCCAGGACTCGGGGGACCAAAGCACAGGAAGGCAAGAGCTTCCTGAGGCTTCCGTGCTGTGTACCCTTACACCTGGTAAACAGCAAGTGCCCGCAAGTGCCCGCGGCACCGGGGGAGAGCACACCCAGCTGGGCCTCCAAGGTCTGGCCGGGACCCCTTCCACCCACCTCCTCCTTGGCCGATATGGATGGCATGGGCACCCAGGGAGGGTTTCTGGCTCAGAGAGGGCTCAGGGCACAACGTTTTCCATTCCTGAGGTCCTGTGTGCAGAAGCCCCAAAGTCCCAAGGACAGGAGGCCCCGAGACGGAGCCACTCTTGGGGAGCGGCAGCCCCACCTGGCTGGCTGGCTCTGCCCCTCGGACCTGCTGCTGAGATCTTTCCATGAGACGCAGCCAGTGGTGGGAAGCCGCCACCCACCATGCCCAGCAGGCCAGCATTTCCCATCCCCAAGGGGCTGTGTCTTCTCTGGCTTCCTCGCCCTCCGTGCAGCTGAATCAAAGCCCTGTGCCCACATGAGTGGAGACCACAGCTCCCAGAAAGGAGGCCAGGAGCCTGCCCAGCCAGCGCAGCGTCGTTAAAGGCCGTTTGCCAGTCAAGGGGAGGTGATTCCTGTGCCCCGATCTCTGGCCTTGGCCTGGAACAAGAGGAGAATCCCTGACCCAGCTCCCCGCCCCAGAGGCCGCCCTCCCGTGCACAGTGAGGGCCTAAGGGCAGCCTGCAGGTGCACACCCCAGGGGTCTCAGCCTCTAGGGCACAGCATTTTCTAAGCTTCCCAAATGGTTCTAACAGCCAAGGATAAGAAGCCCTGTCCCCATGCTAAAGTTCCCAGGGCTAACTCTGCACCTAATCGGGGATTTAAGAAGCTCTAAGGCTCAGTGTGAGGTCAGTTTTGCAGGCTGATCCCAGCTGTCCCTTCCTGCCAGTCCATGTGCTGAACCTGTGGGGACGATGCAGTCATTGTCACTTCAAGGGGGCCAGGAGGGCAATGGCCCGTACCACACACTACCACAAAGCAGACAGTGACCACCCATGCGCTCAGTACCGTGCGGGAGGGAGGCCCCCGGGGGGTCGAGGAAGAGGGCTGGCCTCTCTGAAAGGGCACGACCGAGAAGCTGAGCCGGGTAGCAATGATGGAACCGTCTGAAGGGTGAAAGTGAACCAAATTCTAAGAAAGGGATCTTGCTTTATGTGGCCCAAACTCAACTCCCATGACTGGGGCCGCACCTGTTCCTTGACTCATTTCCCAGCTGCACGTCCCAATCCTGGGCCTGGGGTCCTGCTCAGGCAGGAGCACTGTCCCCAGCCTGCCACCCTGTGCGTCTGCTGGCCCTGCTGTGCCCAGCACTCACCGTGCGGCCTCAACTTTGGCCCGACAGCCTACCATCTTCTTGCCTCGCTACAAAGTAGATGTCCCAGCCGGGACGGGACTGGTCCCTATTGGAGAGGCTGGTGACCTCCTTGCCGAAAACAGTCAGGAATTCCTCGCTAATCTGAATCCCAGATTGGGGAGGAAGACTCCACCCTTCAGCTGGTGAGGATGTGCACCATGGCCTTCCAGACAACCATCCGAGATGAGAGAATGGTGCCAGGCTAATGAACCAAGAAGGGTAATTTTTCTGGTATTTCCAAAACCCAGGTTCTGAGGAGGTTTTCCGGGGAAATACTCATAATCTGATAATGAAGTAATTGGCAAAGTAAGTTAAATTATCAAATAATGATCCTGGGTAGCACAAATGCATTTGCATGGCTTGCTTACTCGTTCCACTTGCAAAATTAATTTAGAAAAAAATCAAGAACCACAATAACAACAGAGAGCAACAAGAAAGTCTGAAGCGAGGAAATGAGGGGAGGTACCCCTGTCTTGCCTTGAACATAGACCATTCCCCTCTGACATACAGATGGGTCTTTGTCCCCTGGTTTTTGGAATTAGCTGAGAAGTTCCCCCACCAAGCGCGGGTGGTCTGCGATCCAGCATCAAAATCACCGACTTGCGGATGAATGTGGAGTATTTTTGGACAGCAATCAGCATTACCGTATAAATCACAAACAGATGTTTGGCCTTGTTGAACTCTGGATAAACTAACAAATCACCGTCTCTGCTAATTGTGACTCGTCAGGGTCCCTTTCCTCCCCGTGTTTCCCTGTGTAAGAGTAACTTAGCTCTCCAGCAGGGATCGGCCAGATGGGCCCCAGCTCCCGGTGAGAGCCCCGTGCCGGCGAGGGAGGGGGCTGCCCACGCTCATCCCTGTCCTGTGGGACTGTGAGCAGCACCATGGGGGGCGCCCCCCGGGGTCCCAGCGGGCAGGCAGGAGGCAGGAGAGACCGGATGGGGACACCTGTGTGGAAACGGGCACCCCACCATCTCAGCATCCACATCGCACTAAGGTCCACATGAGGCAGAGGGCCCTTACAGCCAAGAAGCCGCTGGGGGGGAGGAGTGGGGCTGGAGGGGACCCCTGGAATCCCCATATTAACGCATGTTCCCTAAGGAGTTCTCTCTCAAGGACATGTCAATTCTCGGGACCTCCTTTAGACACATGTAAGTAAATTAGAATCACCAGATGCACAATTAATCATTTGGGCTGAGGTTGAACGTGAGAAAATGCACGGGACAGTGCCCAGGGGCTCACCCCTGCACCCCCTCTATTCTTACCGATGGAATGCCTAATTGTGGAAGCTTTAGGAGACACGTCGATAAGGCACTTGCTAGAACTGTGACCTCACTGACCGCTCCCTTCAAAGTCATAGCTGAACATTAGAGCCTAGTGATTCCCGATACTTCAGTTATGCGACCGAGCATTCCAGCGAGCACACGCTTTCCTCCCCCTGCTTCCCTACAGAGCTGCATGGGTAGGCTCCTTCTCCCCTCTGCTGTGGCAACCTGTTCTGCTCTCTTCTAAAGGCAGAAGGAGTCAGTCTGTCCAGGCCCCTGGGGCGTTATGCCAAAGGCCGGCCACGCTGAGCTCGTCCGGCCCGATCCTAGAAAGCCACCAGGCCTTCCTGCAGACGTCCACGTCGGTCCACGAGTTGGCCCAGAGGCTCTCAGGCAGCCGGCTCTCCCTACACGCCTCGGCCGCGTCCCTGCACTCGCAGCCCCCGCCCGTCACCACCATGGGCCACCTGAGCGTCCGCGAGCGGGCCGAGGCGCTGATCAGGTCCAGCCTGGGCTCGTCCACCAGCTCGACCCTGAGCTTCCTCTTCGGCAAGAGGAGCTTCTCCAGTGCCCTGGTCATTTCTGGACTCTCTGCTGCGGAGGGGGGCAACACCAGCGACACCCAGTCGTCCAGCAGCGTCAACATCGTCATGGGCCCCTCGGCCAGGGCCGCCAGCCAGGCCACACGGGTAAGGGGCTCGGCCGGCGGGGGCCAAGGCAGGTGTGCGGGCCGCTGGCCTGACGCCCCGCCATCCGGCTGCCTGTAGACTCCCATCGCCTCATCCACGGGGTTCCCTGAGTGACACACGCCGGGTAGCGCTAGACAGGGGGTGTCCTGGCTGTGCGCAGAGGCAGACAAGTACGCAGCGCACGTCCCGTAGGGGCCCGGGTCACAGTGGGCGGTACTGACGGGTGCCCGATGCCCACGCTCAGCAGAACTGCTACCCCGAGCCCTGAACCGGGGAGGGGAGCGGGAATGTTCTCTGCAGATCCACAGAGCAGGAGCCCGTTCTGCTTCATGCTCTTTTCACATCACCCTGGCCTGAGGGACAGGAGAGGACTCACGCCAGCACTGGAGTTAGATGCTCGCAGATTCCTAGCGCCAGATTTCCAACTGCCGGGGGTCCTCCCGCTTGTGTGTATGTGAACCTCAGAAAGAGACAGGTGGAAGGCCTTCCCCTAACTACACGGTGACTTATGCAGAGCTCCGTGCCAGCTGATGTTGGGTCACACTTGAGCTTCGTCAGAGAGGAAGGAAAGAAGGAAGTAAAGAGACCCCCGGCCCTTCCCTTCGGTCGGGAGGGAGAGACCGGGAGGCACCGGGCATACATGAGTGTCACACCGGAGGTGTCGCGTGCCCCTTCTGCAGGCTCACACTTTCTCCAGCCAGAGGCTGACGCTCTTTGCAGAGCACGAGGGTCACCGCCTGCCCGGCTTCGGTTCGGGGTGGGTTACTTGGAGGTGGAGGATGGGGGCCACACCCCCGGGGGAAGCTCCACAGGCAGGGGCCAAGGGCAAGCAGGCTGCTGCCCTCAGGAGCTTTAGCTAGGTTAATTAGGTAACTACACGTCTAAACAAACTTCCCTCTGTGTTTCCATTTCCTCAGAAAAAAATGCACAAAATCACACACATTTCTCGTCCTCCCCCCGCCCCCGCCAGTCTGTTTAAGATACCGTCTGTGGGTGTGCGTCTGGGATTCTGGCAAGTTCCCGCAGGACAATAGGGTCCCTGGCACTCTGAGCACCGGGATTACTGTTGGGGCACCAACCTGCCGGACTTAGGGTTTCCGCCAGGGGGCAATGCGTCCGTGTGTTTGGGGGGCACTGGCCGGACCCCAGGACGTGCAGGCACACAGTGACCTCTTACCCGAGGGCATGTCCATCACCTGGGGGAAGGTCCCCGGGTTCAGAGCCCCCAACCCACCCCGGCACGGTACACCCGGGGCCTCCATGCTTTCGGCGGGGGCCAGCCCCGCGGGCCCCCACACCGCCCTCAGACCCCCTGCCACACGGGCGGGCGGGGTAGGCCACCCCCGCAGCGGCCGCTGGTGGTCAGAAGCGGCCTTACATGTTTGCTGAGGCTCCCTGCTTCTCTCTCTCTCAAGCACTTCTCTGAGCCGTGTGAACCCACCGAGGCCACCGAGCAGGGGCAGCGTCGCGACCGCCGTCCGGCTGGGCCCGTGGCAGAGAACGGGGCACTGCTGTGCAGGAGAGCCAGCCAGGAGGACATGGGCCTGGACGACACGGCCTCCCAGCAGAGTGCTTCGGATGAGCAGTAGGGGCAGGGGCTGGAGGGGGGCCCTGCTCTGCAGCCGTGAGAGCCGCTCTAGCAACCCGAGGGACGCTACCTCAGGTTCTCGAAGGACGTCTCCCATGGCGATGAAACACGTGACAGCACACCTCCCTCCCCTCCCCGCCCCCCCGACGCTGCTCCAAGCTGCCCCCCCCACCCCCGGAGCTCCCGGGCGTGGCACGCACAACTTCCAGAATTTGAAAATTCTAACAAAAGCCAGGTAATAGCTTAAAACAGCTAGAGTAAATAGAGCGCCTAAGTCCCTCTTTCCCGCCCTGAAGAAAATAAGACCACTGCATGTTAACCGATTGGCATTTTGGACACTCCCGTAAACCACGTTCAAGACGCAGTAGGGTTCCATCGCCGCCTAAAGAAAACCTCACCTCTTCTAGCACATTTATGCAGATGTTAAGTATAAGCCAACGGCAGCTTTACTGAAACGTGGTAGTGCATGCAGTCATGTCTACACTCTACTAGTGACCCGAGTGTAGACATCGAGTCCTGTGGGAGCGTGGAAAGCCATCCGGACTCACGTGACGCTCCCCATGAGTCAGGCCGGTCTCGCCCCGCGCTCCTGTCCACTCGCAGGAATGTTCGCTTGTTTTCCGAGCCAAGCCATCCTTCCCGTGTCATAGAACACTCGCACACACCTTTGTTTTGGGAATTAAAATGTTTACAGTTATGGCTGTGTCCGGTTGTGTGAGTTCTGGGGTATCCTTTACTGTGAGAATGGCGTTTGGGCAAATTCTGGGACCTTCCCCAAGTGAAGCCTGTCACTGGGGAAAGCAGAAACCTGACTTCTTGTGGATGTACGGGAGGGTGAAGGGGTCCTGAAACACAGTCTATGAAGAAGAGCATCACTGACCTGGTGAACCATCCCTTCTGGAAAGACAATAGCTAGAAGTAAGTCATTTTGGGGATAGTCCCACGACTTTCTTCAAGGTATCTAGGATTTGAAGTGTGGGGGCTAGGGGAGGGCACAGCCAAGAATTTCTTTCCCCCTGGAAGCAGATGGTAATTTTTTTCAAAGTAAGGATTGCCAATTAATAATAATAGGTGGGCTCTGTAATCAGAGACACTGTGCATCATTCTCAAATCAGCCATCCCTGGAGATGCAAAGTTGGTTATTATTGATTTAAATGCAGGTGTCTGTCTAATGAGAAGCTGAGAGAACCTCATGGCAGTTCTCTAAGTCGGCCAAACCAAACTTGGCTGGCAGTCCCTGAAATCCTCTTGGGCAACTTTATAGCCAAGCCCTAAGGACCGGCCCTGAGCTGTGAGCGTGACCTCCCCACAAAGGGTATCTCCTTGAATTAAGTCAGCCTGTTTCGGGCTGACCACCCTCTTGGGCACCCAGAAGTAAGAAACCCAGAAAGCCACTGCGTTCCACAGAAAATGGATCTCCTGACAGAGCTGGAAAACCAATAGGTCGAGAAACAGTAATGCAGATGAGAAGCCAAAGTGCTCTGGATGCATGTCACTCCGCTCAAGATTCCTGAGCTGCTTCTCTAATCAATGACCCGATGGCTTATCCGGGTCATCTCGGTGCAAAGGAAGCAGACAAGGATGGTCATGGTTTGTCAACAACAGTAAGGCCCAAGTCCTCCGATCCGAATACAAGTCTGCACTGTCTGAGAGAGTAAAACCGTCTTGGGTGTGCATGCTGGGAGTGCGTACACACACACACACACACACACACGTGCACGGGTGTGTGTGCCCCCAAAGGGAAAGATGGGGTTGGATGCACTTCTGGACCCGCATGCCTGTCAGCAATGCAGTCACGCTTTTTCTCTACATTGTGGTAAAGAACCTTATATTTACAACACGTGAGCCTGTTTGTTTTTATTTTGAGAGGACGCATGCGCGGGTGGTGGGGGTGGTGCAGAGGGGAAGGGAGAGAATCTGAAGCCTGACTCGGGGCTCCATCCCACGACCACAAGATCATGACTCAATTCGAAACCAAGAGTTGGGACATTTAACCGACTGAACCACCCAGGTGCCCTAATACACACACACACACACACACGAGCTTGTTAATCTGATCTTCAGCCAGGCAGCTGTTTATCAGGGTGTTCCTTGCAAAAGACTGGATTCGCCCCCATTTAAAAGAAATATTCCTAAGGTGACACCTCCTGCTGGGGCAATTTAAACGTGCTGCAGCATATAACCGCAGGGTTATTTTATGCATTTGGACACTGAACGAAATTGTTTCTCCTCTAGAAATGATCTAAAAACTGTAGTGCTTGGTTTTATATAAATCATGGGGCTAATCTGGCATTATTGATTCTAAATTTTGCACTGGGTGCTGAGACCATCTGTTTGGCAAGTAGTTTTCTAAAATCACTTGATGCTCCAGCTTCTCCTTGCCCGTAAAGTGTGCAATGCGAAGACCCTGTATACTCAGCCCCTTAGGCCTTCTCCACTGCCTGCGGGTTTTGTCCAAGTCATTATGCTCCAGGGACATGGCACCTGACACCAACGTGCATGCACGCACGCGTGTGCGATCTTCCCAGACACAACCCTCATGAACTCCGAGACAGACAGGAAGAGAAAGAGGAAAAAGGCCCATTCCACGTTTTCTGGGCCACCGTCGCCCCCCACCTTGCGCTTGATGACTTGAGGACTGGGAATGGAGTGAGCCATGTACATCAGCCATGACACTCAGATGACAGTCTTTGCATTTGAAAACTTGTCCATCCCTGCACTTGTGCTTATTCAGAGGTAAAAAGAAATCGTTTTTTAAACGTGTGTGGTAAGTGGCTGGTGGTACAGTCCGCTCCGGGGGAAGAGGAAGGATCTCGTAAACTCATTCTCCAAATCAGTTCTGCTCTGTCCCATCCAGCCATGTTATTCCAGCTTAAGTTCGTCATACAGCAGTGCATTATGTCCATTTCGCGCTTTCCAAAGTGAATTCTTCCTTCCAGTTGGCCTCGGACCCAACTGTCTGCTAAGTGTCTGGGTTTGCTTGGAGAGTAGGCATTTCAAACTCAGGAATAAATGAGAACTGCTGACGTCAGCCTGTCCTTGCCACCACACCCCTTCCTCTCCGAGAGCACCTCACCTCAGGGAGCGGCTCCGGCAGGGATGGTTGGATATGCGCTTGGCTCCTCCTCTGGTCCTGGCCTGGCTCGGGAGGCGGGCCTCAAACGGTGCTCCGCCTCTTCCTCCTTTAAACCTCACCAGAAAGCCCATCCTTTCTGAGGCCCTGAGTCAGAGTTATTTGTGAATTCATCCTATTTCATACCACAGACGAGGGGGCTTAAACAGCACTTACTTCTCATGGTTCTGGAGGCTGGGAAGCCCAAGATCAAGGCGCCAGCAGATTCGGTGTCTGGTGAGGGCCTGCTTCCGGGTTCACCGACCCCCCCCCCCATCTTCCTGCCATGACCTCACAGGGCCGAGGGGAGAGAGCCCTCTGGGGTTTTTTCCATAAGGGCAGTGATTCCATTCCTGAGGGCTCCACCCTCATGACCGCATCCCCTCCCAAAGGCCCCACCTAACACCATCACACCGGGGGTCAGAGTTCAACATTTGAATTTGTGGGGGACACAAACATTCAGACCATAACATTATCCTTTAGTAGACGTCATTTCTTAAAATAGAGGGATGGCATCGGATACCTTCATACATGCCCCTGATCATCCCGTTTGACCAAGTAATACAGTAATAATTTAAGGACCCTGCCATAGCGAACACTCCATGCTTTTCCAGCCAATAGCTGCTTCGGTTTATCGCAGCTAAATGTCAACGCTGAGATCTGGGGGCACATGCGTTGAAAAGGACAGAAAGCATCAACACAATGGGAGAAGTAGAAAGAGCAAGGGCTTTGGAGCCACAGGGACTTGGTTCAAACTCTATCTGCCACTAAAAGCACGTGTTTCTTTACCATTAGAGAGCGAGCACGCAGAAGCTCGCAGGGCCGCGTGCACGGTGGGGGCCGCCCCGAATCTGTCCCGCTCAGCGGATGGCTGCCAGGAGCCTGCGCCGCTGGAGGCCAGTAACGGCGCCATCCGAGGGGCTCCCTTCAGCCAGGGCAGAGCAGCTGAGGCCTGAGGCTAGCTCTGTCTTCAGGGGCACACAGGCGACACTTCCCCCCGGCCTGTCCCCTTTCTCAGGTCACCTGAGGCCGAGAGGGGCTCCTCTTTGGACGAGAGTAGGTTTGATGCAGGGGCCGGGCTCCCAGACCACACCTGCAGGCAGTGCTCCTTCGGTCCCAGGGAGCCTGCAGAAGTCACACCAGCCCGTCGGACATCATGAGCTCGATCTCCCTGAACAACCCACCCGGGCGGGGACAGGGGCACAGGGGATGCCCCCTTCCCCACACTGGACCAGGCACCCTTCGTATGAGATTAGTTCATCATCTAGGAGGCCCTTCAGATGTGACCCCTCAAAGGCTTAGCAAATCCACACCAAGCTTCAGGAGGTTCCCTTGGGGGAACGACGGACCAAAGGAGCCCGTCCCGGGCTCCCGACCGCCATCCTGGCTCTGAGACGCAAGTGATTCCCGGGCAGTGCGCCCAGCGCCCGGCTCATGGGACACCCTAGTCTAGGCTCCACACGCCTAGACTGGGCCTCGGGGACAGAAGGGGGCATGCCTGGCATGAATGCCAGCTGGGTTTGGAGCTAAGGCTCGTTGCTAAAATACCCTGGAAATTCATAGATCTTCCCCCAAAATGACCGAAAAGCACACAGGGCTCACGTGTTTGCAACCACAGCATTTAGTTTCTTTTTATTAAGCAATAAGCAATCAAATAAACAATGAGATGGCTGGGGAGGACTTAAATGGCTTTTTTCTGAAGTAACCATTTTCAAAAAACCGAGTAACTCATATCCCCGTGAACTGAAGCACCTGGAGAGGGAGTTAATTTTCATAACACGCAAAATTGATTAGGTAGCGAACGCCCTTCTCCCCCTTCCCTGGAACACACGTATTAACTTCGATGGGGGCAAGTTCCATCTAATACTCTTGAAAACCATTTCTCATTTCATAATTTACCGAAATCATACGCACAACTGCAAGAGGAAATAAACAAAAACCTCTCGGCATAAATAAGCCACAGCGGATTGTTCATCTTGTCGCGCCAATCCAGCCTTCAGGCTAATTTGATCTTTTAAACATTTCATGGAGAACAGCTGTCGGGCTTTCTCTGGAAAAGCCCATCAGGTTTCGTAAGCCCGAAGGCATAAATCCTTGACAGGCGGGGCACTGATCAGGCTCGGCGCGAAGCAGCACATTTCTTCAAGCGCACACCGCAGGGGCTCGAACGGTCTTCACTTCCAGCCGCTCTGCACACACGTCACAATATCTGGCAAAAGGTGGTTTCTGTTTTCCTTGGTGACCTGTGGGGAGAAGCAAGAGAGCAGGCTTCAGAGTCTTTTCCTTTTCCTCAATCCTCTGCTAGGCAGTATTCTCCGGGAAGAGCCCTGAAGGCCCAGAGAAGGGGAGGCAGGTTTCGGGACTGAGGGAGGAAGCCCAGCTCGCAGGTACGCTGCAGGCAGGCCAGGTCCAGTGGGATCCCAGCCCCAGCTTCTGCAAAGGGACAGCTTGGACTGTGGAAACTTTACCCAGTGATCCGTTTTTATTTTTCTTTACGAGTACAAGGGAAGCGTTCAGACGCCACCCGGGGCTTTGGATGGTGGGCGGTCCCCCAAGTAAGGGCAGGGCCTTCCTGCTGGGCCTCC